ATTCCTATACATGTCCTTGTTCTACATTCCTATACATGTCCTCGTTCTACATTCCTATACATGTACTTGTTCTACATTCCTATACATGTCCTTGTTCTACATTCCTTTACATGTCCTTGTTCTACATTCCTATACATGTCCGTGTTCTTCATTCCTATTCATGTCCATGTTCTACATTCCTATACATGTCCGTGTTCTACATTCTAAAGTCTAAATTTCATACAGCATGAAGGCTACTAGAGCTTTTACGGAGGCTCCAAAGTATCCAGACTCCTAATTAAATATCAAATGGAATGTAAATTTTTAAGATCCTGATGGATTCTGTAAAAGATTACGATAGACAATGGACAAACGAGGGCGTGCTGGATTGGATTTCCTTTCAGAGTGGGAAATATCTCTTGGATACACCCCCCAAAAATATTAAGCAACAAGTCTGTTTTTCCTCAGCCTGATGTCGTCATCTCACTCATAACTTAACCACAATAAGCGTGGTGAAGATTTGTATACACCAGCTGTCAGTCCTTTAGTTGACAGTACCAAAATGACATACCATGTCCTACTTGAGGTCAAGAGTTTGAGAAGAATAACTATCAAACACATGAGGTATTTATTGTAATGTTACATTTGATTGATTCCTGTTTACAATTCACGATAAATATAAACTTTATATATTTTACAACAATAAGGAAACAATTTTTCCCCAACTTATTGTACCCCGGCCGTCTTGGTGAAAAACGAGTGCGCTATCCACTGCAATTTACTGCATCAATGGTCATGACGGTCAAAAAACAGGGTTCAACAGCTAGGCCATACAACAAATACAAAATACAACAAAATAGTACTTATAATCATGTAAAATTTTGAATTCGAATTTATAATACAAATTCAACAGTTTATTTGCACATTTGTAACTAAAAAGTAGTTTGAAGGCAAAATAGTAAAACACAGTGAAAAACATACATATACATGTACATGTAGAAAAGTCGCAAGGTGATAGCTTATATTTCTAATATACATTAACATGAACAAAATTAACATATCTTATACTGTCAGCAAGCCCACTCTCCTCAGTTCTAGCACGGAATTAGATTATCTAAGTCCTCAGTTCTAGCACGGAATTAGATTATCTAAGTCCGTGATTCTAGGGACTGTTTAATGGATAAGCAAGAGTCCGGTATCGAGTTGTTTGTAGATAATATTGAGGTCAAATAATTGGTATCTATGGTAACATCATTGTGATTAGGAATGCATTTTTGGAAATAAGGGAACACAGAAACTCACTACATCTTCCACGAAACACAAACCTGCTATAGGCCTAGTTATCTTTCTCAATGTTGTGCTTATGGTGAGACGCCAATCAGCGTCGACATGGAAGCAAAGTAAGGAATCACTGTGTGAAGGGCTGGAAACCATAAAGCCAGGGAACAAGGAAAAGTCAATCAGGGCCTTCCTGTTAACCTGTATTAAAAGAAGTGTATAGAACGGCCTGTTGAGACACAAGAGGACTGTCAGAAGTACCTGTCTAAAGCGGTACAAGTTTACAGTCGGGCTAACAATAAGGATAAACAAAATGATCTCGAGTCAATCGTGGACAAGCTACTGTTGGCAAGTAGTAATTTAGGGTATAACACCACGGCAGTGACAATGATGATCTTCTCCGTAGGTTGAGAAAATGTATTCGGCTCACTCACCGTCGAGATGGCACTGTACAATATACAGACATTTATACAATTCATACAATCAATGTAGTTTGAGGATTTCTATGTTTATTGGACACTTACTACATATAAAAATAGTCTCAGGCTGGATTGGGAAGATACAACTCAATCCAGGATATTGACACTCGTAAATAACGATGAAAACCCCAACTTGAAGGAAAGAGGCAACCTGATGCGCGATGTCCTTACTTTGTTGGGTAGCGCGAAGTAACCTTCTTAGTTTTAGTAATATTCACATGTTTTTATAACCATCCAACACACAGTATTCTCTCAAATATTCGTAACAAGTGCCGTTTCATAGCAGGATACATGAATTTTTTTTGGTTAAATATATGGCATTTTTTGGGGGGAATTTAATATCTGCTGATTCTAAAGAAGTAAACGACAAAAAGAATTTCGGCATATACGTCTGTCTCTAATAATCTGTAGGCCTGTCTACATGTCTATCTAGAGTGGATCCATGTGTCTCTTTACATGTTGATACCGACAATGTCGGAGCCGAACTCAATCCGACGGAGTAAGTGCACTAACTTGAATGCAGGTATTTCTTTGACAATATAAGAATAGCCATTCTTGAGGGGTACCATATCTGTCAACGAGATGCCTGAAACATAATACATGTAAATATTGTCCTTTCATATTTGTCAATCGTCCTGTTTCACAAGGACTGTGTCGGGTATCAGTTTTGATGCGATGATGTCAGGTCTTACGATAGACGTGTATATATGATACAATAACTGACTTCTATACCCTAATGCAATGTGACCAGAAACATTGTACAAAATTATGCATATATGTCAATTTTAAATATGTATAGCGAAACGTGTGTCATGTATCCTGGTATGAAGCGGGCAGTCACTAATGTCACGGATTCCTAATGTGTGCGTGCTTACGTGTGTGGTTACCATAGCGCCACATCACCAGAAGGTCACACCACAGACACTGTTGCACGGGTCACACCACAGACACTGTTGCACGGGTCACACCACAGACACTGTTGCACCCACCCCATCAACTATTTGAGCCATGTGGACAGACGAAAAACATGTTTTCGTCAGCACCAATGCTATATAACGACTTCAGTGAGGGAACCCCGGCAGTGTGCGTGGAAAGTCGGGGTGTACACACCTCATGCCAAATTTAATACGATTTAATACGATAAATAATGGACGCAGGCTGTAAGCCCCTGTGTCCATACCAGTTGATATTACAATATTTACAGTATGATATACTTCTGTTGTACAATTAGCATGTCCTTCATCATATATATAAAATTAAGTTAAGTATTTGTTGGTATTTTCCCAGTGATTGTCCAGTAAAATTTCAAAATGTTTGACATCCTCTGCATCTATAACATCTTGCGGCAAGTTGTTCCAGGCAACTATAAAAAAATCCACCCATATCTTCCTATACATTGTCATTCATTTTGTTTGAGGTTCGATTAACGTCAGAACTCCGGATCCGGCCCTCTATAATGTGCGGGAAATATGCGACCCACGCCCGGAGCGCACTTCAAACTGATATTTTAGAAACAAATCGTCACTTTCACACACATGGATCGAAAGATCTATTCTTTATGTACTAGGTGGTATCAATAACGTGTTTCAAAGATCATTACGAAAAGTATTTCCCAACGTTTTCTATACCAACCCATGTTTAAAATGGAAATTAGGCCATGAGCAATGTCAAATGACTTGACGAGATCTCGCGTTACTGAAGGTATATCCCAACGTTATGACGTAAGACGGCGAGATTTTAGTCACGTGGCATTAGAAGGCGGAACTATAAAAAAAAAAGAGTAAAATCAGAGTAAATTTGAAAAAATATGTTTTTAGTGATTGTATTGGTTGTTTGAGGCATGTAATTTATGTTCATCTTGTGCATAAAGAATAGATCTTTCGATCCATGTGCGACATGTGTGTAAATGTGACGATTTGTTTCTAAAATATCAGTTTGAATTGCGCTCCGGGCGCGGGTCGCATATTTCCCGCATATTATAGAGGGCCGGAGTTCTGACGTTAATCGACGACAGACCGATATGAAAAAAGTCGATAAAACGTCAGAATAATTCGGACTAGCTGTAATGTCAGTCCTACGTTAGACATACAGTTGGTGTCCAGGCTGTAGTGTCAGTCCTACGTTAGACATACAGCCTTGTGTCCAGGCTGTAGTGTCAGTCCTACGTTAGACATACAGCCTTGTGTCCAGGCTGTAGTGTCAGTCCTACGTTAGACATACAGCCTTGTGTCCAGGCTGTAGTGTCAGTCCTACGTTAGACATACAGCCTTGTGTCCAGGCTGTAGTGTCAGTCCTACGTTAGACATACAGCCTTGTGTCCAGGCTGTAGTGTCAGTCCTACGTTAGACATACAGCCTTGTGTCCAGGCTGTAGTGTCAGTCCTACGTTAGACATACAGCCTTGTGTCCAGGCTGTAGTGTCAGTCCTACGTTAGACATACAGCCTTGTGTCCAGGCTGTAGTGTCAGTCCTACGTTAGACATACAGCCTTGTGTCCAGGCTGTAGTGTCAGTCCTACGTTAGACATACAGCCTTGTGTCCAGGCTGTAGTGTCAGTCCTACGTTAGACATACAGCCTTGTGTCCAGGCTGTAGTGTCAGTCCTACGTTAGACATACAGCCTTGTGTCCAGGCTGTAGTGTCAGTCCTACGTTAGACATACAGCCTTGTGTCCAGGCTGTAGTGTCAGTCCTACGTTAGACATACAGCCTTGTGTCCAGGCTGTAGTGTCAGTCCTACGTTAGACATACAGCCTTGTGTCCAGGCTGTAGTGTCAGTCCTACGTTAGACATACAGCCTTGTGTCCAGGCTGTAGTGTCAGTCCTACGTTAGACATACAGCCTTGTGTCCAGGCTGTAGTGTCAGTCCTACGTTAGACATACAGCCTTGTGTCCAGGCTGTAGTGTCAGTCCTACGTTAGACATACAGTTACGTGTACTATAGTTCTGTCTTTGAACTCTGTCGGAGCTGATTTGGAATGTCCTGCTGTAAAAACGTGATACGTTTCTGGTAAAGATCCTGTCTTAGGACTGGCTTGTAATTAATATCCAAGTAGTAACGCCCTCTAGTGGTGAACTTCTCCCACGGAACTAAACCTTGACCATTTGGGTTTCTGAAAATAACAATAGAAATAGTCTATCAAATTGTACCTGTTTGAACTGCCTATATGTATATGTAAAGGTCAAATCCAACTCCTGGTATTGTTATGTCATGTTAAATAGTGTACTAGCTTCATCTTAAATACATTTACATTTATGTGTGTCCAGGCTGTAGTGTCAGTCCTACGTTAGACATACAGCCTTGTGTCCAGGCTGTAGTGTCAGTCCTACGTTAGACATACAGTTACGTGTACTATAGTTCTGTCTTTGAACTCTGTCGGAGCTGATTTGGAATGTCCTGCTGTAAAAACGTGATACGTTTCTGGTAAAGATCCTGTCTTAGGACTGGCTTGTAATTAATATCCAAGTAGTAACGCCCTCTAGTGGTGAACTTCTCCCACGGAACTAAACCTTGACCATTTGGGTTTCTGAAAATAACAATAGAAATAGTCTGTCAAATTGTACCTGTTTGAACTGCCTATATGTATATGTAAAGGTCAAATCCAACTCCTGGTATTGTTATGTCATGTTAAACAGTGTACTAGCTTCATCTTAAATACATTTATATGTGACGTGCTCTTACCAAATGTACTAGCCTTGACTGTCAATACACCTATAATATAATCTATATTATAAAAATAACAGAAATAATGACTAGTTACCCCTGCTTTTTAGTCTATTTCTGCATTATACTTTAGTAGGTAATTTGCTGGCTCATATGAAACAAATAGTCTCAAACCCGTTCCTATACTAGTGTAATAATGATGAAATTCACTAAAGCTTTTTACCAGGTGAATCGATCATACCGATAAAGATGTAGAAATATTATTAACGCCTCATAATTCCTCACGTGATCAGTCTTTTTCTTCATGCGATGGCAATTCGCTCGCGTTACAATATTTCCCTCGCGATACAATGTTCCCCTTATATTAAAATATTTCCCTCACATTAAAATATTTCAGTCTTGATATTTCCTTTAAATGATTAAATCCCCGACATGATAATATTTCCCTCAAATGACATTTCCCTTTTGCAATACAATTTTCTGTTCGCATTAATCTGTCCGTCGTGCAATCAATTTTGTAATTGAATAAGTACTTAAAACTTTTCATATTTTTCAAAAACGAATTGTCCTTGTAAAAAGTAAAACAATAATATTATTTCCTTCTTTAAGCCATGTTAAGCCTTCCGTTGAGATGATTCGGTAATCAATCGAAGAGATAAATACTTAAAAAACCGATTTTTCTGGCGGTAAATAGACCTACCCTGTTTTGGCGAAGTTAGTCAGGTAGGTTACGACTGTGTCTGTTAACGCTCTCCCTTCCGTGCTACGGATGGAGTCGTCAATAGCACCAATGTCACCTGGACCGAACATGTACAAGCATTCCACGCCGTGACCAGCACCCTTAGACCAGGGGAAAGAGGGCACTAGAAACTTAAAAGTGATTTCATGTGTGAACAGGTATTGGTATGTGTTCGAGCGAGTGTTCCCCTTTGAATGGAAGTCCAGAAGGGCCACAGTTGGAGCGTGAAAGAACAGATCCCCATACAAGTCGGATATGCTCTGAGCTTGGTCGAACATGTTGTCCTCCTTGTACCGTTGACAGAGCATGTCCGACACAATGGTTTCATCGTCAAAGGCGTCTTTAGCTACAGCTGGTGCAAACACGTCACACAACAATGGCGTCGGTATACCGTCAGAAAGGCTAAAGTTCATCGGCTCTTGGAAATGGGAAAATATAAACGGAATCAGAGAAGCTTCGTTATCGTTAGTACCCGCTATCAAATCTAGAGACTGGAGGTAAAGCAATTCCTCTGATCCAGGATCCTGTAAGCTGTCGATAGGTTTCCGTAGAAGGAGCTCCCCGTCTATCACCGGCCAGAGATTTACGGATATCGAGAACCTGCCGAAGTACAGTGTTGTAGGGTCAGACTGTGCTTTTAACAAATCTTCAGCGGATTTTCCCTTCAGACATTTTATAAGAGCTTCGTTATCAATGACCGACTCGGTGTCAGTGATACACCCAGCATAGCTACCCACCTTTTCCGCGACTCGGATGGGATTCTCGCTAATAAACAATTTGCTTACTGGAGTTCCGCTCTGAGCGACAACCCTCTGGAATAACCCTTTAGTTGTGGGACTAACAGACAGGAAGGATACAGCAAAGCCTCCTGCTGACTCTCCAACTATGGTAACCATGTGCGGATCACCTCCAAATGACGCTATGTTTTTGTTAACCCATCTTAATGCTTCGATCATGTCCCAAAGACCGTAGTTACCTGGAAGTGTGGAATCTCCCGTGCTTAAGAACCCAAACAGTCCCAAGCGGTATTGAAGGGTTACTACTATAACATCTTTCAATGCAAAATACGACGAGTCGTATAATGCAGCATATCCGCTTGCAAAACCGCCGCCATGTATGTAAACCATTACCGGCTTTTTGACTGTAGTTGATACAGCCTCAGGAACATACACATTCAACTGCAAGCAATCTTCTGAGGTTTCCTTATTATCTAAATTTTCCCGCACTTCCGGCAAAAAGTTGGTGTCCTGGATACAAGACGGCCCAAACTTAGTACCGTCTAGTGTGTCTGTCCAAGGTCCTACAGGAACAGGCTTCTCAAATCGGAGCTCGCCCACAGGAGGTTCTGCAAATGGAATATTCCGGAACTGTAAGACGTTCTGTCCGAGGGCTGGAACAACAACTCCCTGGATTGGACCAGAAGGAGTGTTGACTACCGGACCAGAGTGGCCCGTACACACCACTAGAGATTTAGTCAGCCATACAGCCACGCATAACGTCTGCATCATGTTGGTTTCTGTAACGAAACGTAAACAGAATGTTAACAAGAGGCCCATGGGCCTTAACGGTCACCTGACATATTTATACAGAGAGTTGATTTTGTCTTTAACATGAACAAAAATATTATTCAAAGTGACAAAAAACAATAAAACCATCTTATTCAATATCTAGCATACAGATTTAAGACTAAAAAATATTTGAAACTAGCACCTCTGCTTCTAAACAAGGAAAATGAAGAAATTTTAGCACACCGATTCCTTTGGGCCCCACCCTACAGCCCTTGGGCGTAGGGCTGGCTCAAATGTTTTAAAGTATCAAACTGTCAACTCAGGGTTATAATTCCAATAAATTTATTAACATGTAATATTCAAAGTATCATTTGCCATTATAAACCATAATATATCTCCCCCCCCCCCACTCCTTCCCCAGGGGGTAAACGTGTGACTCTATGGTCATAAACCTTAAGACCCTTCCATACATGAAGAGTGCTTGATTCTACCATATCTGGGTCTTTGAGAAGAAGATTTTTGAAATTTCAGTCAATTCAACCCTTTTTGGCCCCACCCATCAGCCCCGGGGGGTCAGTCAGTGCTGATATGTACATACCATCAAACTTCTATCCAATACTGATAATACTAACCTAAATTGAATTACTTCCAATGGAAATTAAACAAATGTTGGTCCAAAATGTGATTTCCCTATATAAACTATAGTAAAGTTTACCCCCCTCTCCAGGGGGAAACGTAAGACCACAGGGTCATGAAATTTACAATTTTGGTAAAGCACCTTAAGACCCTTTCATCTATGAAGAGTATTTGATTTTACCATATCTTGGTCTTGAGAAGAAGATTTTTGAAATTTTAGTCAATTTGATCATTTTGGCCCGGCCCCTCAGGCCCCTGGGGGCTGGGGACCAAACCGGCCACTATTTTTGTTGACCTTTGACCATGAAATTTAAATTGGTTCAGGGGTTTTGGAGGAGAAGTCGAAAATGTAAATTGTTTACGGACGCACGACGGACGACGCCGGACAAAAGGCGATCGCAATAGGTCACTTGAGACTTTGTCTCGGGTGACCTAAAAATTGATGTACAACTGACAACTGACGAGATTAAGATGGTATGACATTAAACTCGCTCAACCATATCTAATCTCAACGCGTACGTCGCTCGCTAGTCTTATCCAACAGTCACAAACCTGACCAAGCCTCGCTAATCTGAACTGACCGTCGCTAACCTCATCCAACAGTCGCTTAGCTAATAAAATCCCCACTTACCTCATCCAACAGTCGCTTAGCTCATAAAACCCCCACTTACCTCATCTAACGGTCGTAAACATTAACCTTAACCAACCATTGCTAGCCTACCCAAACGTCGGTAACTTCAACAACTTTCGGTGACCTTAATCAGCCATTGATAACCGTCGCTAACATTCACCTGCCATAGCTTACCTAAACCCATTGTTGCTAAGTTTAACCAATCATCACTAACTTCATCCAACTCAATCGCTAACCTTACTCAACCAAGGCTTATTTCAACCAACCGTCGCTAACCTTACTCAACCAGGGCTTATTTCAACTAACTATCGCTAACCTTACTCAACCAGGGCTTATTTGAACCAACCGTCGTTAACCTTACTCAACCAGGGCTTATTTCAACAAACTGTCGCTTACCTTACTCAACCAGGACTTATTTCAACCAACTGTGGCTAACCTTACTCAACCAGGGCTTATTTCAACCAACTGTCGCTAACCTTACTCAACCAGGGCTTATTTCAACCAACTGTCGCTATCCTTACTCAACCAGGGCTTACTTCAACCAACCGTCGTTAACCTTACTCAACCAGGGCTTATTTCAACTACTTTTCGCTAACCTTACTTAACCAGGACTTATTTCAACCAACCGTCGCTAACCTTACTCAACCAGTGCTTATTTCAACCAACTGTCGCTAACCTTACTCAACCAGGGCTAATTTCAACCAGCTGTCGCTATCCTTACTCATCAGGTCTCATTTTAACCAACCGTCGCTAACCTTACTCAACCAGGACTTATTTCAACCAACCGTCGCTATCCTTACTCAACCAGGGCTTATGTCGCTATCCTTACTCAGCCAGGGCTTATTTCAGCCAACCGTCGCTATCGTTACTCAACCAGGGCACATTTCAACCAACCGTGGCTAACCTTACTCAATCAGGGCTTATTTCAACTACTTTTCGCTAACCTTACTTAACCAGGACTTATTTCAACCACCCGTCGCTATCCTTACCGTCGCTATCCTTACTCAACCAGGTCTCATTTCAACCAACCGCGCTATCCTTACTCATCGGGTCTCATTTCAACCAACCGTCGCTATCCTTACTCAACCAGGTCTCATTTCAACCAACCGTCGCTATCCTTTCTCAACCAGGTCTCATTACAACCAACCGTCGCTATCCTTACTCAACCAGGGCTTATTTCAACCAAACGTCGCTATCCTACTCAACCAGGTCTCATGTCAACCAACCGTCGCTATCCTTACTCAACCAGATCACATTTTAACCAACCGTTGCTATCCTTACTCAACCAGGTCTCATTTCAACCAACCGTCGCTATCGTTACTCAACCAGGGCTTATTTCAACCAACCGTCCCTATCCTTACTCAACCAGGGCTTATTTCAACCAATCGTCGCTAACCTTACTCAGCCAGGGCTTATTTCAACCAGCCGTCGCTATCCTTACTCAACCAGTTACTCAACCAGATCACATTTTAACCAACCGTTGCTATCCTTACTCAACCAGGTCTCATTTCAACCACCCGCCGCTATCCTTACTCAACCAGGGCTCATTTCAACCAACCGTCGCTATCCTTACTCAACCAGATCTCATTTTAACCAACCGTTGCTATCCTTACTCAACCAGGTCTCATTTCAACCACCCGCCGCTATCCTTACTCAACCAGGGCTCATTTCAACCAACCGCCGCTATCCTTACTCAACCAGGGCTCATTTCAACCAACCGCCGCTATCCTTACTCAACCAGGGCTTATTTCAACAAACCGTCGCTATCCTTACTCAACCAGGGCTTATTTTAACCAACAGTCACTAACCTTACTCAACCAGGGCTTATTTCAACCAGCCGTCGCTATCCTTACTCAACCAGTTACTCAACCAGATCACATTTTAACCAACCGTTGCTATCCTTACTCAACCAGGTCTCATTTCAACCAACCGCCGCTATCCTTACTCAACCAGGGCTCATTTCAACCAACCGTCGCTATCGTTACTCAACCAGGGCTTATTTCAACCAACCGTCACTAACCTTACTCAACCAGGGCTTATTTCAACCAGCCGTCGCTATCCTTACTCAACCAGTTACTCAACCAGATCACATTTTAACCAACCGTTGCTATCCTTACTCAACCAGGTCTCATTTCAACCAACCGTCGCTATCGTTACTCAACCAGGGCTTATTTCAACCAACCGTCCCTATCCTTACTCAACCAGGGCTTATTTCAACCACCCGTCGCTATCCTTACTCCACAGGGCTTATTTCAACCAACCGTCGCTATCCTTTCTCCACAGGGCTTATTTCAACCAACCGTCGCTATCCTTTCTCCACAGGGCTTATTTCAACCAACCGTCGCTATCCTTACTCAACCAAGGCTTATTTCAACCAATCGTCGCTATCCTTACTCAACCAGGGCCGATTTCAACCAACCGTCGCTATCCTTCCTCAACCAGGGCTTATTTTAACCAACCGTCACTAACCTTACTCAACCAGGGCTTATTTCAACCAACCGGCGCTATCCTTACTCAACCAGGGCTTATTTCAACCAACCGTCGCTATCCTTACTCAACCAGGGCTTATTTTAACCAACCGTCACTAACCTTACTCAACCAGGGCTTATTTCAACCAACCGTCGCTATCCTTACTCAACCAGGGCTTATTTCAACCAACCGTCGCTATCCTTACTCAACCAGGGCTTATTTCAACCAACTGTCGCTATCCTTACCCAACCAGGGCTTATTTCAACTAATCGCCGCTATCCTTACTCAACCAGGGCTTATTTCAACCATGCGTCGCTATCCTTACTCAACCAGGGCTAATTTCAACCAACTGTCGCTATCCTTACTCATCAGGTCTCATTTTAACCAACCGTCGTTAACCTTACTCAACCAGGGCTTATTTCAACCAATCGTCGCTATCCTTACTCAACCAGGGCTTATTTCAACCATGCGTCGCTATCCTTACTCAACCAGGGCTAATTTCAACCAACCGTCGCTATCCTTACTCATCAGGTCTCATTTTAACCAACCGTCGCTAACCTTACTCAACCAGGGCTTATTTCAACCAACCGTCGCTATCCTTACTCAACCAGGGCTTATTTCAACCAACCGTCGCTATCCTTACTCAACCAGGGCTTATTTCAACCAACCGTCGCTATCCTACTCAACCAGGTCTCATGTCAACCAACCGTCGCTATCCTTACTCAACCAGGTCTCATTTTAACCAACCGTTGCTATCTTTACTCAACCAGGTCTCATTTCAACCAACCGTCGCTATCGTTACTAAACCAGGGCTTATTTCAACCATGCGTCGCTATCCTTACTCAACAAGGGCTTATTTCAACCAACAGTCGCTATCCTTACTCAACTGTCGCTATCCTTACTCAACTGTCGCTATCCTTACTCAACCAGTGCTTATTTCAACCAACCGTCGCGATCCTACTCAACCAGGTCTCATGTCAACCAACCGACGCTATCCTTACTCAACCAGTGCTTATTTCAACCAACCGTCGCGATCCTACTCAACCAGGTCTCATGTCAACCAACCGTCGCTACCCTTACTCAACCAGGGCTTATTTTAACCAACCGTCGCTATCCTACTCAACCAAGTCTCATGTCAACCAACCGACGCTATCCTTACTCAACCAGGGATAACTTTACTAAGCACGACTAACAACTATGGTATCTGTCTCAACCAGGGCTTATTTCAACCACCCGTCGCTATCCTTACTCAAACAGGGCTTATTTCAACCAACTGTCGCTAACCTTACTCAACCAGGGACGATTTCAACCAACCGTCGCTGACCTTACTCAACCAGGTCTTATGTCAACCAACCGTCGCTACCCTTACTCAACCAGGTCTCATTTCACCCAACCGTCGCTAACCTTACTCAAACAGGGCTTATTTCAACCACCCGTCGCTATCCTTACTCACCCAGGGCTTATTTCAACCAGCCGTCGCTAACCGTACTCAACCAGGGCTTATTTTAACCAACCGTCGCTATCCTTCCTCCACAGGGCTTATTTCAACCACCCGTCGCTATCCTTACTCAAACAGGGCTTATTTCAACCACCCGTCGCTATCCTTACTCAAACAGGGCTTATTTCAACCAACTGTCGCTAACCTTACTCAACCAGGGCTTATTTCAACAAACCGTCGCTAACCTTACTCAGCCAGGGCTTATTTCAACCAGCCGTCGCTATCCTTACTCACCCAGGGCTTATTTCAACCATGCGTCGCTATCCTTACTCAACTGTCGCTATCCTTACTCAACAAGGGCTTATTTCAACCAACCGTCGCGATCCTACTCAACCAGGTCTCATGTCAACCAACCGACGCTATCCTTACTCAACCAGGGCTTATTTTAACCAAACGTCGCTATCCTTACTCAACAAGGGCTTATTTCAACCAACAGTCGCTATCCTTACTCAACTGTCGCTATCCTTACTCAACCAGGGATAACTTTACTAAGCACGACTAACAACTATGGTATCTGTCTCAACCAGGGCTTATTTCAACCAACCGTCGCTAACCTTACTCAACCAGGTCTTATTTCAACCAACTGTCGCTATCCTTACTCAACCAGGGATAACTTTACTAAGCACGACTAACAACTATGGTATCTGTTTAAAAAAGTCTTCATAGAAAATACAACACAAAATTGAAAATAACAAGTATAGTGTTCTTATATATTTTGGGTTTAATAATTTCCTTCAATAGAAATTTAAATGTTATGGTTAGTTTATGTTAATATTTTACGGTTATAGAGAAAGTAAGATTCAAGTACTCTAAGTGTTTCTTTCAGCTATTCAAAAACAATTGCTTCCAATGTTTTCAATTACAAGCAAACGCTACTACAGCTGAATTTGGATGAACTTAGAATATTTCCTCCTTCAGCATTTTCTAGCTTCATATCTCCATGTACCTATGGCCCAGCTGGACATGAAGTAACTGTTGATCGAAACATTATCAATAATGCAAAGCTACGAGAGTTTTGCATGAAAGGTCGTAAGTATTGAGAAACTCCTGCTAATTTCAAGATACTGACGGGCCCTCTGGAAGTCTACGGCAGACAATGGGCAAAACGAAGGAGCATGCCGAATTAAATTCACTTGAAGAGAGTGGGTCAAATATATAAGGTCCTCACTTAGAGAGCGGGTCAAATCTATAAGGCCCATCATTCAAAACGAATTAGATATCTAAATCCAAAATGAAAACTAAACACAAACCAGTTTCTTGTCCAAACACACTCAACGATCTGCACAACAGCTATGTAGCTGTGTCTTCAGGCAACATTCCATAGCTTTGTCTACAGCACTATTACATTGCCTGCTTACAGAGAGAAGTAGGCTTACTAGATAACCAATGAAACCCTAAATATCCATTTTCGGAAATCAAAATACTAGCGAATCACGTTTCGGTATTACAATTTTTCCGAATACCCATTAACGATAAGGATAATGATCTGCCTTGGATTCCGAACATTTAAATAAATCCTTATAAACAATGCTTTATCGCTGGTCCTTCAGTTAGATGGGAAAATTTCCAGCCGATTTTAGTAATTCCTATGAGGGAAAGTTGTGTCTCTCTTCTGGTCAACTGGTTTTTGTTTCCATATGAGGCTGAACGTAGCATAATCCAGTCCAAGTCGTTCAAATTCACATTTAGATGAATAACATGAAATTCAATGACTACGTCGACGTTACCCTCCTGAGCTTGAAATCAAGGACACTACAGACTTTTCTACTTCGGCCGCTTTCCTTAATCTTTACTTACAGCATGCCAAGCAGGGACGACTTACTACTAAGATCTACAATGAGCGGGGTGATTTCGATTCCCTTTCTTAAAAGAAGCCTCTATACACCCTCACCCTACAGTGTGTACATGTCACAGTTGATCATTAAGTGTGTAAGAGTTTACTCCCAATGCCATGGCTTCTCTGATAGGCTGCGTATGGACAACTCACAACACAAGGATTCCGAAGAGGAAGGCTGATGAAGACTAAACAAGTGCGAGTTTTATGGTCGCCATCATGATCCCATAGAAAACTATACTATTTCTGTGTGTGCTATGAATTTTAAGCTTTTGATTACGATCACTAGTTTGTCTTGTTGTTTTGTTGCCCCCATCCCAATTCTCACTGTAAGGTCGTGACATTCTAGTATTTGACCTAGATCTACATAACGGACATATCCCTGTTCTTTTTCAAGGGGTTCCGTATAAATATTTTTCTTTGTTCACATATTGTCCTAGTTTTATCTTTTTAGAGTTCGAATTACGGTACTGTTTATTAAGAAGGTTTCAGTTCAATAAATCAGTCGAGTTTGATGAATTAATCCACGTATGTTAATCCTTAACGTAAAATGTTATATTTAAAATAAAGAATTAAAGCATCCCCTCGATCGTGTCATCCCTGAGTTTAGTGGGATTTTAACATAATGTTTAAAGTTTTCAGTCCTGCTTCAAAGATAAAAATATGTCGAAAAGCTTGATTAAAAACAGATACGCATGGAATATTTATCAAGAAATAGCGACATAATTCACCCTGCTAACAACGACGCGGAAGGGTCAATTGCCAAAAACACCGATGCTAGATGAAGGGAGATAACTACGATATCCATACAGGGTATTGATCAATTTATATTATATTACTATAATCAGAGACCTAAAGTAAATTTAGGTCTATGCTATAATATAGGCCTTATTCCACAGGTTCCACCTAGAGAACTAATGTGTACCTGGTATGCCTTCCAATGGTCCAGGTTAATTTCCCAGTAACATCAGAGACGTATTATACGTCTCTGGTAACATTTATGAATTTATCAATCCGTAAGTAGGCCTATAGGCCTATTCGCTGTTGTGTATACATACATGTGAAACGTGAAATCTCGCCGCTGTCGAGATGAAAGCTACCCTACATCCTTAAAGATCCGAAAACAGTTATATACATTCACCGACACCTCAGTACAGCACAGTCTACTGGACAGTTACAGTATAACAGTATATTTACCTGGGTGATGGACCGAGGCGAGGAACACAAGATTACCAACACTGAGCTGCCCTAAATGCAACCTGAGCCGACTGGGACCTTTGTATATTATGGCGTTTTTCTACTTCGTTTTAGAAGAAGAAAAAATCTTAAATGAATTGCATTAATATGTGACTTAAGTTTAGCGTAGTAAATTAAAGGATAAACACCAAATGATCAAGACAAAGGGATTATGATTGTAGAGTTGGAATGTAACAGTTACCTCCCTTGGATCAAGTTACTTATACTGAGATGATAAACCTCACAGAGGGTGACATACACCATATAGGGAGATTTTGCAGGGAATACATTTACAAGATAATCTTAAGAGAGTATTTCTGCTAAACTCTCTGCTTTAATCTGCTCACTCATATAGTATCTGTTTCAGGATACAAGACAAGTTAGCTCGGACAAATTGTTAAAGTAGTACACACAGCTCGGAGGATATAAATATGCATACAATTCTCCTTCTCCAAAGAATTTTTCATATATGTCAAATACAAATCGACAGGGCTATGGCGTATGTCAAATACAAACCGAGAGGGCTATGGCGTATATGTCAAATAAAGATCGAGAGGGCTATGGCGTATGTCAAATACAAATCGAGAGGGCTATGGCGTATGTCAAATAAAGATCTAAAGGGCTATGGCGTATGTCAAATACAAATTGAGAGGGCTATGGTGCATGTCAAATAAATATCGAGAGGGCTATGGCGTATGTCAAATAAAGATCGAGAGGGCTATGGCGCATGTCAACAACAAATCAAGAGGGCTATGGTGTAAGTCAAATAAATATCGAGAGGGCTATGGCGTATGTCAAATAAAGATCGAGAGGGCTATGGCGCATGTCAACAACAAATCAAGAGGGCTATGGTGTAAGTCAAATAAATATCGAGAGGGCTATGGCGTATGTCAAATAAAGATCGAGAGGGCTATGGCGCATGTCAACAACAAATCAAGAGGGCTATGGTGTAAGTCAAATAAATATCGAGAGGGCTATGGCGTATGTCAAATAAAGATCGAGAGGGCTATGGCGCATGTCAACAACAAATCAAGAGGGCTATGGCGCATGTCAAATACAAATCGAGAGGGCTATGGTGTATGTCAAATAAAGATCGAGAGGGCTATGGCGTATGTCAAATAAAGATCGAGAGGGCTATGACGTATGTCAAATAAAGATCGAGAGGGCTATGGTGTATGTCAAATAAAGATCTAAAGGGCTATGGCGTATGTCAAATACAAATCGAGAGGGCTATGGCGTATGTCAAATAAAGATCTAAAGGGCTATGGCGTATGTCAATTAAAGATCTAAAGGGCTATGGCGTATGTCAAATACAAATCGAGAGGGCTATGGTGTAAGTCAAATAAATATCGAGAGGGCTATGGCGTATGTCAAATAAAGATCGGGAGGGCTATGACGTATGTCAAATAAAGATCGAGCATGAGGGCTATGGCGTATGTCAAATAAAGATCGAGAGGGAGATGGCGTATGGCAAATAAAGATCGAGAGGGCTATGACGTATGTCAAATAAAGATCGAGAGGGCTATGGCGTATGTCAAATACAAATCGAGAGGGCTATGGCGTATGTCAAATAAAGATCGAGAGGGATATGGCGTATGTCAAATAAAGATCGAGAGGGCTATGACGTATGTCAAATAAAGATCGAGCATGAGGGCTATGGCGTATGTCAAATAAAGATCCAGAGGGCTATGGTGTATGTCAAATAAAGAGCGAGAGGGCTATGGCGTATGTCAAATAAAGGTCGAGAGGTCTATGGCGTATGTCAAATAAAGATCCAGAGGGCTATGGTGTATGTCAAATAAAGATCGAGAGGGCTATGACGCATGTCAAATAAAGATCGAGCATGAGGGCTATGGCGTAGGTCAAATAAAGATCGAGAGGGATATGGCGTATGGCAAATAAAGATCGAGAGGGCTATGACGTCTGTCAAATAAAGATCGAGCATGAGGGCGATGGCGTATGTCAAATAAAGATCGAGAGGGCTATGGTGTATGTCAAATAAAGATCGAGAGGGCTATGGCGTATGCATGCGTGCGTACGGCAGAACAATTCAACGAATCTACATACAAAGCAAAGATACTTTTATTTTTTCACATTTTACTATGATAAAATTATATGTGATGTTCGCTATTTAAACTCAAAATTCGTTTCTTTCTTAAAATCAACCAAGGCATAATATCCAGGTGTCTAGCTGATCTGATTTTCTGGTTATTATTATTATTACAAGCTAACCGGTAATAAGATTTATATATATACACTGATGTTCTATTTATAGTAAGTGACCTTGACCTTTGATATCAAAGGCTGAAAAGCTATCCAAAAGCTTAAGCAAATATTTTATTACACTGGATAAAGTCGGAGTGCATACGGCCCAAAAGAGCTCCATATATTGTGCATAAAATGTTTTTCTATATATAGTAACATTAACCTTGAAATTTGACATCGATGCCTCAAAAGTTACAATTTATATTCTAAGCAAATACTTTCTAAAGTAACAATGACCTTAATCTTTCACCACCAAAGCAGGCACTTTCTCTGAGGTAGCACTTGATAAAGCCTGAGTATAATCATCCCAACAGAATTGGAAATATTGTGCCTTAACTAATTTTCTATTCATGGTAACAGTGACCTTGACCTTTGACCGCCGGACCTGAAAAGATTTTCATAGCAAGCACTTTCTTCAGAAAAGCACTGGATAAAGTCGGAAAGCAATCCAACCAACATTACTGAAGATATTGTGCAGAAAATAAACAAGAAGCCCAATGGGCCTGTGTCGCTCATTTGCTTCTAATGCAACTTTGAAGCTGATCTACGTCAGACAGACAGACAGAAAACCTGATTACTATAGATGTGCAGGGGTCCTAACAACAAATTGTGAAATTGAATTGGAGAATCCCCCTTTGGGACCCCACCCCTCCCCCTAGGGAGCCAGGGTATTATGAGAGAGGCCCTCTTTAAACGGCTCCAGACCATTGGTTTGAAAACATCATCAAGCCATACAGAAGGACTTCAAAGGATGTACTGTATTAGGTGATTTATGACCTCGCAACAGCCAGGGTCATATGAGGACGGGTTTCAAGGAGACACCTATAGAAGAAAACTTCTGTAATCCATTATGAAAAAGCCACATATTAGGTAACAAATTGATGTTGCAAGTGGTAGCGAAAAAAAGTCTGGGAAAACCTTAATTATGAGATTTCTTATTTGCAAAGGGCCATAACTCCAGCAACAAATGAAATATTGACACAGGGTTTGGACTCTTACTGCAATCCATTATGATAAAGCAGCATACTATTAAAGTGGCAAGTGGTAACGAACAAAGTATGACACACAGTTAATTATGAGAACTTCCAATGTGCAAAGAAAGGGCCATGCATACATGTAACTCCAGCAAAAAAATAAAACATTGGCACGTGGTTCCAACTTGATCTGTAATCTATTATGATTAAGCCACACACAAAGTTACAAATTGATATGGAAATGGTGGCGAAAAAAAAGTCTGGGAAACTTAAATGTGACTGCCGCCGCCAACGACAACGGACACAGTGATCCTTAATTGTTTGCCATGCTTCTCAGGCGGCACGACAAAGAATGGCAGAACAGTGAAGACAGAAAGGAAAGATTTAAGATCCCAAGTGTGTTGCAATGGGGGCAGAAGATCTATTTTGGTCTGTTCAATGTCCCCCAAGTAGTAGACATGAAAGAAAATCCCCGATTCTTCAGCTTCAGGGGGCCAACTTTTAGCCCCCCCCTCCCCATCCTATGTACGTTGTATGTAAATTAAATTATGGTTTGACAGATTTTGACAGATTCTATGACTCAAGTATAAAAATTGTTTGAATCATGTAATCTTGAAAAGAAAGTGAAGGGACATAACTCTCCATGTAGACTCCAACTCAAGTAATTTCTGCTGATCTGACAGATCTGTCAATTCAAGATCTATCTGTACACCAAATTCAAGAAGAATTACACATTATTATAAGTTTCGCATTTCTGAAATTTTCTGACATTGTCAGTATTGTAAGTTTTAAGCAAAAGTTCAAAACAATCTAAAATTTCTGGATATTTTTTTCCAAAAACAACGGGAAGAAAATCTACATTTCAAAGAAAGTGGTAGCTATGGGAGCACCCTATATATGTAATAAACATAAAAATATTGGTACTTTGCAAAACAATAAGCAAATTTTGCAAAACCACTAATTCTCAAAAATCACCTAAACATGACATATTTTATCTAAAAGGAAACTTGGAATTTATCAAAGTAACAAATTATATTTCTGATGTATAACAGAAAGGAATGTGAGGAAATCATGTGAGGGACACAACTCACAGGAATATTATCAAAAGAAAGACAATCAATCATAACTGCACAAATACTTAGAGTACATGTACATAGCAAGTGTTCCTAGTTTAAAACAGAGAGTATGTGTATCACTTGAAACAAATTTTAAATTATGTAAGAAATAATTCTCAGGGACACCATCTAAATGAAAATTAATTGATTGATATAACAGTCGAGATGCATTCAAAATCCTCCCCACATGGAAAGTAAAACAAACATTACAGTAAAATGTTCAAACCTGGCCTGCATGGTGTAAAGTTTCACCTTTTGTGACTTTCAGCTTTCTTGGTGAATTTTGTGCATTTTTAAATATCTCCCATTATTAGCTCACCTGGTCCGAAGGACCAAGGTGAGCTTATGCCATACCGTGGCGTCCGTCGTCCGTCCGTCGTCCGTCCGTCCGTCTGTTCGTACGTCCGTACGTACGTCAACAATTTCTTTAAACGACTTCTTCTTCTTAACCACTGGTTGGAATTAAACTAAATTTGACTGGAAGCATCCCTAGGTGGTGGGGATTCAAAATTGTACAAATGGTGGGGCTGACCCCCAAGGAAGCTGAGGGGCGGGGCCAAAAGGGGTCAATTTGCCCATATTGCTTTAAGCGACTTCTTCTCTGAAACTAAGAAGTGGACATCAACCATATTTGACTGGAAGCATCCCTAGGTGGTGGTGATTGGAAATTGTA